CCTTCCTTCCCTCCCTATTTCTCTCTCCTTTTCCTTCTTCCCTTCCTTTCCCTCCTCCAATTCTCCCTCCCTCCCTCTCCTTCCCCTCTAATTCACCTTCCTTCCTTCCCTCCCTATTTCTTTCTCCTTTTCCTTCTTCCCTTCCTTTCCCTCCTCCAATTCTCCCTCCCTCTCCTTCCCCTTTAATTCACCTTCCTTCCTTCCCTATTTCTCTCCTTTTCCTTCTTCCCTTCCTTTCCCTCCTCCAATTTTCCCCTCCTTCCGCCACAGGCAGTCTACGTAACCTCTACGCCTTCTGGAAAACACGGAGTCAAGAGGCAGGGGCGATGCCAGCCCCCTGACCATGTTCCAGATTTCCGAATTTCAAGATGAAACTTTCTCCACGAGTGACAAGGACCCCACGGATCCCAAGCTGAGCGTCTGGGGGCCCAAGGATCTGAACAGCCCCTCGCATGAGAACCCAGGTGAGGGGAAACGGTGGAGGGCTTCCTCCCAGCTTACTATTTCCACAATTTCTCAGCTCTCAAGCAAAGTTTTACCCAGTCCCTTGAGAAAACAGCCCCGATTAAACCCTGGTTTGCTTTATCATGGTTTCTCGGTTAAGCCGCAGTGCGATGGGTCCTCACAAAATTAGCAACCTACCTTTGGCCTGCGTTTTGAAAAGAGGTCAAATACAAGCAGTTCTCGACTTACGGCCAATTAGGATCGGAACGTCCGTCGCTAAGCGGTGCGGTCGTTGAATGAGCTGCCGTGTTCCCCCCCCCCACTCAATTTCGCAATCTTTTTTTTTCTTTTGGCTTGGCCGTTAAGCGATTCTTTGCGGTCGTGAAAGTCAGAAGTCGGGGACTGCAGAGTGTATGAGATCCTTGGTTTAATTTAAGCTCTGGCTGATTTTAAGGTTGCTGGACAGGAAAGAGGAAATAAAAACGAATTTGGGGGGATTTCTTGTCTGTGTTCCCCCCGCCCCAAGTTGCCTTCCGTATAAGACAGTTGTTTTATCCAAAATCTGAGCCGTGTAGTTGAAAACACAAATGACGCTGCTGTCAAAATTGATACGATGCGTCCTCTGACACGCTTAAAGCCCATTCAGTGACGTGAAAATTGCTCCTGTCCAGTTGAGCGTACAACAGGGATCTCGCCCTATTCAGCTGCGGTCTTAAATCCACACCCTCTGGGCTCCACCAAAGGAAATGCCTATCAGATCACGCCAGGTGGCTCATACGATGGCCTCCTACAAGGTTAGCCTTGACTTACGACCATTCCTTTAGTGGCAGCTCGAAGTTACAAACAGGAGGGCTCCTCGGTGCTCTCTGAGCTTGGTGGTTTTCTTGCAGACGTTTCATGACCCAACTGGGTAACCTCATCAGTGCTAGAAGGGAGTGGGGTTTTGCTTTGTTTATATACAGGTCACTTGTCATGTTGGTGGGGCAATCAAGGAACTACCAACTCGAACAATTAATAAAATAGAATAAGGAATAGAAATAGAATAAGGAATAGAAATAGAATTAGAATAGGAATAGAAATAGAATAAGGAATAGAATAATTAGAATAGAATTAGGAGTAGAATAGAAACAGAATTAGGAATAGAAATAGAATAGAGTAAGGAATAGAATAAGGAGTAGAAATAGAATCAGGAATTGAATAGAATTAGGAGTAGAATAGAATTAGGAATAGAATAGAATAAGGAATAGAATTAGGAATAGAATAGAATAGAATAAGGAATAGAATTAAGAATAGAAATAGAATCAGGAATAGAAATAGAATAGGAATAGAAAAAGAATAAGATTAAAAATAGAATAGGAATAGAATGAGAATAGAATACAGAATACAATAGAACAGATTAAAATAGAGAACAGAATAGACTAAATTCATTCAGTGGGAAAGGTAACTTCATCAGTGCTATGGTAGAAGAGACAGGGTTTTTCCTCTATGTGTTTCCTTGCAGAGATCAAATCTCTTTGATCTCCCTTCTAGCACTGATGATGTTACCTAGTTGGGTCATGAGTTGTCCACTAGAAAAAAAACCAAGCTCAGAGAGTACCAATGATTCCTCATTTCAACCCCGAGCTACAAACAATCTCCTTTATTGAAGTTACAACAGTGCTTGGGGGGGGGGGGGGGGGGGGGGAGAAATGTGACTTATGACCGGTCGTCACACTGACAACTGTGGCAGAATTCCCGTGGATCACGCGATTCAAAATTCAGGCGCTTGGCCCTCTATTTATGAAAGTTGCAGAGTCTCATGCGATCGGCCATTTGTGACTTACCGACCAATTTTCAACAAGGATCACCGAACAACTCCAGAGGTATATGCTTAACAACCTCAGGGTTGTTAAAAAAAACAACCGCCTTGCTTAGCAACGGAACTTCTGACCTCGCGGTCGTTAAGACGAGGACTCTCTGTCAATCTGTCCATGCATGGGTAACTCCCACTTCCTTCTAACTTGAGATGTCTTGCTCTGTTAGAACTGAGACGCCGCATTGGGTCGGACCAACTCGATTCGGAGACCTCCGATGAGGTGGGGGCTTTCCGGGCCCGCTCACGCTCTGCCCCTCCCATTTTGTGGGCCGCGCAACGATACGGCCGAGAATTACGCAGGATGAGCGATGAATTTCACGGCGCCCTTCAGGTAAGGCTGGCCTCAGCAGGGCAGGGCAGGGACGCCAACTTTGCAAACGCTGAGCGATCCTTCCATTTACGGAGGGTCTACTAAAGGGAGTAACCTACAGGGAAGTCCTCGACTTACAACAATGGAGCCCCAAGTCTCTGTTGCCGAGCGAAACATTAGTGATGTCCAGACTCATGAATTAATTAGGGCATCCGTTGGAACCCTGACAACGTCAGGGCTTCCGGCAGTCGCCCCCATTTAAATCCTGAGTCTCGAGCCAAACTTCCAAAACTTAAAAAGGATTTATTGGGAGTAAACATGCCGGCACTGCCTGGGTGCAACCAACTCTGAGGCACATCATTCATTGTCACTCTTAACCCTGGTTTTCCCCCACCTCCTGGGTGTATCGTAATTCATATTCTCCAATGGGACACCTTCATAGCCCAGAGTCATCGATCATGCTCTCTAGTTAGAATTTTGCCCAGCAGAAACTTCAGTCACCTAGAAACTATCTTTGAAAACATTTATGGAATGCAAGCTGCCCCACTGTTCCCCCCTCCCTTTCTGTTGGCAACTCTAAAAAGACCCTAGAAATATTTTATGAGTTGACAGACAAGTGAATGTTGCCCCATTTTACGACTTTTCTTGCCGTTGTTAAGTGAATTGCCGCCATTGTTATGAACACAGTTGCTAAGCGAATCAGGCCTCCCCGTGGAGTTGGCTTGTCCAAACAGGATTGCCTGACTCCCGGGACACTGCAACTGTCATAAATATGAGTCAATCAAGCGGCTGAATATTGATCTAGTGACCAGGGAGATGCCGCGACAATTGTAGATGGTTAAAAGTACCTTTTTTTCAGGGGCGTTGTAAATTAGAGCGGCCATTAAATGAACTGTTTGTCAGCTTTGGAAGCCATATTGAGACCAGATGCTCCCACACTGCCACATTTTGAGCCTGAGAAAGTGGGAGGGGGGAATATATTGGATATATCTACTTAGACATAACAACATTCTTTTTCTAATTCAAGGTCATGTTATTTTGTGCCTAAGTGATGGGAAGTCTCAAGTTGGGACAGGTGGTGATTGGGGCATGTGATGCAATGATGGGTGCAGGGGATGGATTTGTAGTTTTTAACTTATTGCAAAGAAGCCCGAAACTTTCACATTCGGGATTCCCCAGATGTGCCAGTTTACTGTCCAAAATAAAAGGAACATTTGAGAAGATACCTGTCTCGGAGTTATTGGTTGGAGCGGAGGATTGCTGGAACGCTGACATGGTTGTAAGACAAGGACTACCTCTAATCTAATTGTAACTCTAATTGTAATTCTAATTCCAATTCAAACCTTTGCTTGGTTGAACGCATCTCAAAAGAGAGAAAAGCCGCCGCCGATCCTTCTTCGTTCCACTTTGCCCCCAAGGAAAAACGATTCAAGGAAAGAAAGACGCCAACCACGATGGGTGCAACGGTGACCTGTTTTACCAATCGGCATAGCGATATAGTCGGTCCACCAGTTGCGTCACAATCTCACGTGCTTTCTCCGCTGTCTTTCAGAAGCTGCCGCGCCCGAAAAGCGCCGGGACCTGCTCCCACATGGACCGTCCTCCTCCCAGCTGGAAGGACACCCTGCGGTCGTGGTGGCGCCGAAGTTGCCCGGAGAATGGACCTTCCGGTTCTTAACCGGGTTTTGCTGCTACCAGTTACGGGGGTGGGTGGGAGGGAGGCACTTGGTGGGATTTCGACCGTATGCTTTTTCCTCCATGGTGTATCCTCCAAATTATTCCGGGTGCCAAGTTTGTTCCCCAACACTTTCCATTCTTTACGCCACCTACAAGAAGTTTACTCCGGATCTGACATCATGGCACTGTCCAGATTTTCACCCTCTGCTCCTTCAACCCTAAATTAAATTCAGGGGTGTGTTTTCCCCTTCCCCAGTATCCAACACCCTTAATTTTCCAGGGTCCCCCGTCCTCTCCTGAAAAATCAAGGCAAATACCCTTTTTTGAACAAAGCAAAAACAAACAAACCTGTATTTTTTTTCTCACCTTCACTCTCTGTATTGTTGCTGTTTATTTGTCTTTTAATTCCTAAAAGGAAAAAAAATAATGTATATAAAGGTTGTTATTTCTGGCTTCTCATCAGGCCTCGTATCCATTTTTTCCGCCCCACGATCTCGCAGCTGCATCTCAAAAAGGTTGCATCTCAAAAACCCACCCACCCCTCCAAAACGAGTGACCAAAATAGCCTGACATTTGTAAACCTGGCTAATTTAGGGTTGACTCAGCCATAAGTGAGTCAGTTAGGGCAAGGCACTAAACCAACAATTAGCAACCAAGTGTTGGCACCTCGGCAAGACCAAGCTTCGAGATAGGAAATTGACTTCACGAAGCGGGTGACCACCTTCCTCAAGAGTTGGAAGAATCCCGGTTGAAGCTGGCGGAATCCATGCCGGCTTCTTACACCACCCCAGTGGGATCCCAGCAATACCGTTTCCCGCAATCCAGGCAGTTTAGCTCTTCCATGTCGGCTTGGCTCAGGTCCCACGACCACAGCTGGCCGTTTTCAGCCACGCGGCGTGGAGACGCCGACTTGGGAATGATGCTCGCGCCTCGGCACAGAGCCCAACGGAGCAAGACCTGGGCAGGCGTACGACCGCGCCGCTGGGCTACGGCCCGTACTGTGGCATGCTCTACCAATGAGCCAGTCCCCAGCGAGGAATACGCTTGCAAATGGAGGCCGTTCCGGGTGCAAAATTCGAGCAGCTCTGCTTGCGTGAATTCAGGGTGGAATTCCACCTGCAGGACAGTGGGTTTCACCCTGCAGTGGGCCAGCAGTTCCTGAAGATGCCGGACGGTGTAGTTGGAGACGCCAATAGCTCGGACCTTCCCAGCTTCGTACAAACTCTCCAGGGCGCGCCAACTCCGCAACCGACGTTCCGGGTTCCCGGCGTCGTCCTGAGGCCGGCCTTGAGTCCCCGGCCAATGGATCAGGTAGAGATCCAGGTAACCGCAGTCCAGGTCTTGCAAGCTGCGAAGGCAAGCTTGGTAGGCAGCCTCCTCTCCGTGGTCTCTCGGGCTCAGCTTGCTGGTCAGGAAAACGTCCTCGCGGGTGAGATGGTGGCGAGGCAGCAAATCCTTAAGAGCTTGTCCGATCGCGGCCTCGTTGCCATAGACGGCGGCCGTGTCCACCAAGCGGTAGCCGTTTGCCAGAGCCGCCTCCAGGCTGGCCTGCACGGCCTCGTCCCCCCTCAGACGGAAGGTGCCAAGGCCCAGAAGGGGCATCGGGACGCCGTTGTTTAACCACACGGTCCGTTCCGGGAGCCTAAAAGGAGCAGAATTGGATACTTGGATCTCCATTGTAGATTGAGGACTAGCTGTGTCGAGTGCTGGGGCCCGGACTTAAGTCCTCAGCTCTCTACACAGCTCGTCCTCGATCTACATTTAGTGTAGATCAAGGTTCATTTAGTGTAGGTTCATTTACTGACCAAAGTTAACACCGGCACTGAAAAAAAGTGACTTACGGCCAGTTTTTTCACACTTAGCGGCCATTCCCGTGATCCAAATTGAGGCGCTCGGCAACCGACTCATATTAAATGATGGTTGTAGCATCCCAGGAGGGGATCATGTGGTCCCCGTTTAGCGACATGCCAAATCAACAGGGGACTCCAGACTCGCTTAACAACCATGTTACTCATTTAACGACCGCCGTGGATTCCTTTAACGATGGTGGGGCAAGAAAGGTCCGTAACACTGGGGCAAAACTCAACACTTAAGAAATTTTGGGGTTGTAACCTGAGGACCCCCCTGAATGCATTTTTACGACTGACTGTGGGAAAGCCATACTCGGTTGTGTTCACGGCTTAACCCAATTAGGCTGGGGACCACATGGGTGTGTGTGTTGGGATTCCTGGTCTGTTTTTCGGCTTCTCGCTTGTAGCCTACAGCTTTGGGATCTCCTGGTGGTACCCCATCCAAGCAGGGACCAGGTTGGGCTGCAAGCTTTATCCAGGACTGAAGGACAGGAGGGTGGAAACCAAACTCTTCCATTTCACTTTGGCTTTGATGGGTTGATTGGTTGCAAAGACCCAAGTCACACAGTCCAATGGGAGAGTAAGTGGGACGCCTCTAGTGGCTCCTTTGCACCCCTACACCTTTCGGACCCTAGTTAGTTGGAAAGTCCCCCCTCTAGTGGCCATGCTTTGTTACTGCACCCCTCCCGGGAGCCTCTTTTCAAAGGAACCCCTTTTAGGAAAAGGTGCAAGCTTTTGGGGGCTGCAGCGCGCTTCACGGGGCGACCCCCCCACACACCGTAAAAGCAAAGAGGGGAACGGGCATCGCACAGGGACACAAAATATTCTGCTTTCTTGAGGGGAAAGCATTGCATTAGGCAAGGAAGCACCAGGTTGTCACGAGCAAGGGGCTTTGCAAGGGGTTGGGCCGCGATTAAACCCCCCCCTTTTGGGGGAGCCATTTGCACCTCGGGGGACCCCACTTTAAAAGGGGCTTGCAAGTGGATTTCCCTGGCTTAGCATGCAATCCCAAGCATGGCTTAGCTAGCAAGCCGGGTTTAAGCCAGCTTTAAACCCCAACCGGGCCTTACTTCTTCTTCTTCTTTTTTTTTTTTTTGCAGACTTGCTAGCCTTCCCTATTTTGCAAAAAGAGGCGAGAAGACCCCCCTCCCCCGCACCCCCTTCCCCAGCTTACCAGGACGCAGGAAGTGCCGTCTCTCTGGGTTGCATGGCTGATCAACAAAGAGAGGAGGCGGGACCAGAGGCCGGGTGATAGGTGGGGCTGCTGCCCAATCAGGGCTAGAGAAAGAGGAGGCGAACCCGGGAAAAGGAATTTAAAAAGAGAAAGAGAGAGAGAGAGAGAGAGAGAGAAAGAAAGAGAGTGAGAGAAAGATAAAGAGAGAAAGTTCACAGGAGAGAGAAAGAGACACAGAGAAAGAGGAGAAAGAGTATGTGAGAGAAAGAGACAAAGAGGAGAAAGAAAGAGTGTGAGAGAGAAAAAGAGAAAGAGCATGTGAGAAAGAGAAAAGAGAGAGACAGACAGGAGAAAGAATGTGAGAGAGAAAGAAAAAGAGAACGAGCACGTGAGAAAGAGAGAGAGAGAAAGAGCATGTGTGAAAGAGACAGAAAGAGGAGAAAGAAAGAGTGTGAGACAGAAAAAGAGAAGGAGCATGTGAGAGAGAGAGAGAGAGAGAGAGGAAGAGAGAGAGAGAGAAAGAAAAGAAAGAAATTAGTTGTGTGGACTCTAGTTTCCATTGCTGAACTTCTCAGGTGGACTTAAAACTCTAGTTCCCATCGTTCCCAGCCAGCCCTGGGTGAGCAACATGAGCTTTGTAGTCAGGACCACCGAGACACACCCACCTCCAAATCAAATCAGCCAGACTGTGGCTGCTGTCTTCAATTCGGGTGACATTTCTTTGCACTTGCAAATACATTAAATGACCATGAACCTGGTTCACACCTGTCTAGTGTTACAACAGCACTGAAAAAAAGGGAATTATGACCATGTTTCACGCTTACAACAATTTGTAGCATCCCTATGGTCACACGATCAAAATTCAGATGCTTGGCAGCTGGCTCGTATTTATGATGCTTGCAGTGTCCCAGGGTCGTGCTTGGGAGGGAGGGGGGTTGGACTAGATGACCTACAAGGACCCCTCCAGCTCTGTCATTCTGGTGTTACGTGACCCCCCAACCCTTCCGACAAGTCAATGGGGAAGCCAGATTCACTGAAACAAAGGTCTCACTTTAGCCACTTGGGGTCAACTGGGTCGTAACTCGAGGATTACCTTGTACTCTGGTGTGGTCCAAAAACCATCCTGGGAAGTTATAAGACAAACCCATGTCTGTCCAGGAAAACGTGGGTCAAGATTTCTCTTGGAATGACTGAGGTGAGACCCCCGCTTGGTGGCTTCCACCACTGTCTGGTCTGCTTCCCCTTATTTTTACAAAGAACCACAAGGAGGAAGTCAACCAGCATCTCCTGGGTGGATCAAACGTCCCTCAAGATGCCTGCCGAGTATTTGAGTCTAGTGCTGTGTGGATCCTAGCTGGGAAGCTGTCGGATCCCCTTGCTTTATTTGAGGCTGTCTGCAAGATGGAGATCGCTTTTTGGATCTCGGCAATGGAGGGAGGAGGTCTCCGTAACTGGCAGCGGAGGAATCTTCTGGGGTGTTCTCTGAGCTTGGTGGTTTCCTTGTGGACATTTCATGACCCACATAGGTAACATCATCAGTGCTAGAAAGGGGGGGGGGGGTTTGCTCTGTTTGTATACAAGTGGGTTGTTGTGTTGGTGGGACAATCAAGGAACTACCAACTCAGACAAACAATAGAATGGGAGCGGAGAGGAGGAGGAGAAAGAATAGAATAGAATAGAATAGAATAGAATAGAATAGAATAGAATAGAGAAAGAATAGAATAGAGAAAGAATAGAATAGAGAAAGAATAGAGTAGAAGAGAAAGAATA